TTTTATTTGTTGAACGATTCGTCGATTGTGTAATGGTTGGTCAATGTGGGTTAGTGGTGACGGTGGTGGCGTGAGGCCCTGCTATGTCGCGCTAACACCTGTCTAACACCTGTCTAACACCTGTATCGACTCCCGTCTCGTCGATAAGCCTTCGATAACAGATACAACGACCGGGATTAGAGGAAGGTTATAACTACAGGGCGAACGACAACACATTTGCCTTCGAGTTGTTGATAATGTTGATGACGCAGCCTTTTATTGTGCAATAATTTATGAGTCAAAATTATATGATCGCGATATTCTCTTTTTTTTTGGCTTTTAAAGTTCAGCTTTTATAACCAGTGTGTGTGTGTGGCATGAAGTTCAGAGACTAGCGACTATTTTCATGAAGAATGATATGGAAACGGACTGAACAAATTGGGTATGTGTTGGGTAACAAGGTAACCTAAATTGGGTAACTTCAACACTCAACGGAGTGTTGAATGTAAAAATACACATGTAAATACATCTTAATAACACCAAATTACCTGAACATTTTTAATTTACTTTATATATAAAGTGGAAACTTTCCTACAATGAAAGAACTCTACTACGACTCTCACCCCCAACGTCTCGCCCCAGTAGTAGTAGCAGTAGCAGTAGCAGTAGCAGCAGCAGCAGCAGCAGCAGCAGCAGCAGTAGCAGTAGCAGTAGTAGTAGTAGTAGTAGTAGTAGTAGTAGTAGTAGGCATCGTCCAGTCTCGGGAGTATACTGAGTAGTACACATGGGTCCCTGATGTGTACCACCAGACACTTACATCATACTTGCCACACACACTCTAGGTGAGTACACACATACACACGCGCACACTTTTGCTTTTATTTCGATTTTATTTTTTATATAAGGTATAATAAAAACATGGAATTAAAACCAGGTAATTATTGTGTGACCTCAGCGCCGGAGGACTGAGCGAGATGGACGAGTGAAGACCGGGTTTGCTTTCCGTGAATCCTTCACAGAAAGATTAATTTCATTTGGAAACTCTGAGAGGACTTCCTTTACCAACTGGACAGCGACGAAATCCGTTTCTTCCCCCATACTGTCCCTGTAGCTCTGGACGAGGAGATCTGAGTCCTCGAGAGAGGAACTGCTTACGAAATTGAGGAAAGTTATGGCGTGGTAGGCACAGGTACTGTAACCAGGGCGCTGGAAATCGGTCCTGACTCTGGTGACGTGTCTGTGTGCAATCTTGTGCTTCTTCATATAGTTACCAAAGGACTAATGCACAGGGAAGGGGGTTGGGTCATAGTAGAGGTACTGGCCGTCCTTACATCGGTAGATTGAGACACTGTGGTAACAAGTTTTACTGTGTTTTATGGTATATAAGAAACCTTTGCCTCTATGTAGTTTGGGCCGGGACAGTAAGCCTTGGTCTCCAATTACAATACGACACGCCTTAGCAAAGTCCCGAGGGCTTTTATCAAATATGCAGTACACATCATTGGCCCTCAAACATCTGATATGGGTAAGATCAGGGTGGCACCATTCCATCCTAAAGGGATCCATTCTGCTAACTCCTTGGAACTTCTTAAGTAAGTCCTTCAAGACGGCGCCGCAACACCATTTACACACCACTCTCTAACATGTTCTTTATATCACACATACATAAAATTTAGTCATGATGTAAGAAAATAATCAAGTTGATTTTCTGTCCAACAAATATTATAGATTTTGTTAGTGAGTAAGACTGGACAATCCGAATGTATTGTTTTGTAGGCTGTGTTGTGGTGATTGTTTTGTAGGCTGTGTTGTGGTGATTGTTTTGTAGGCTGTGTTGTGGTGATTGTTTTGTAGGCTGTGTTGTGGTGATTGTTTTGTAGGCTGTGTTGTGGTGATTGTTTTGTAGGCTGTGTTGTGGTGATTGTTTTGTATGCTGTGTTGTGGTGATTGTTTTGTAGGCTGTGTTGTGGTGATTGTTTTGTATGCTGCGTTGTGGTGATTGTTTTGTAGGCTGTGTTGTGGTGATTGTTTTGTAGACTGTTGTGGTGATTGTTTTGTAGACTGTGTTGTGGTGATTGTTTTGTAGGCTGCGTTGTGGTGATTGTTTTGTAGGCTGTGTTGTGGTGATTGTTTTGTAGGCTGTGTTGTGGTGATTGTTTTGTAGACTGTTGTGGTGATTGTTTTGTAGACTGTGTTGTGGTGATTGTTTTGTAGACTGTGTTGTGGTGATTGTTTTGTAGACTGTTTGTGGTGATTGTTTTGTAGGCTGTTGTGGTGATTGTTTTGTATGCTGTGTTGTGGTGATTGCTTTGTAGACTGTTTTGTGGTGATTGTTTCGTATGCTGTGTTGTGGTGATTGTTTTGTAGACTGTGTTGTGGTGTTTGTTTTGTAGACTGTTGTGGTGATTGTTTCGTATGCTGTGTTGTGGTGATTGTTTTGTAGACTGTTGTGGTGATTGTTTTGTAGACTGTTTTGTGGTGATTGTTTCGTATGCTGTGTTGTGGTGATTGCTTTGTAGACTGTTGTGGTGATTGTTTTGTAGACTGTTGTGGTGATTGTTTTGTAGACTGTTTTGTGGTGATTGTTTTGTATGCTGTGTTGTGGTGATTGTTTTGTAGACTGTGTTGTGGTGATTGTTTTGTAGACTGTGTTGTGGTGATTGTTTTGTAGGCTGCGTTGTGGTGATAGATTTCTATTTACTATTATTTTTACAGAATCGAGCTCTTAGCTCCCGGACCTCGCCTTTCTAGCCGTCGGTTACCGACTCCCGTAATTATTTCTCTATTATATCTACTATACCAGCCCATCCTCCTGTTTTGGTAGTACTTAGAGTAACGATGAGGACCACAGTATATATACCGACGGACAACAAAAGTAGAAATCTGAATTATTGAGTTGGACAAACCGGAAAACAATTTTTTACTTGTGTTGCTTTGACAAACTAAACTAACCTAACCTCCCTAGGCCTAATACACGATATCTGAGGCCTAATATAGTACATATGTGTGCTATTTTAGGCCTAGGAATATTTAAGTTTGTGTTTTAGCCTCATCTATTTTAAAAGAATTCCTTATAAGTCAGTATACTACTATCTAAAAGCTAAGAACGTATCAATTCTGACGATTGATGATCATTACAATAAGTACTATCTAAACAGGAGGATGGGTTGACTAATATATAAACACTCACATTCCCAGAAGGCAGTCGCAACAGCTGAATGGTAGGTGAACAGAGGCATCAGGTGAAAGAATGTCAGTGATAATAGTTTTGTACACTGAGTTGTGATGAGAGAGAGAGAGAGAGAGAGAGAGAGAGAGAGAGAGAGAGAGAGAGAGAGAGAGAGAGAGAGAGAGAGAGAGAGAGAGAGAGAGAGAGAGAGAGAGAGAGAGAGAGAGAGAGAGAGAGAGAGAGAGAGAGAGAGAGAGAGAGAGAGAGAGAGAGAGAGAGAGAGAGAGAGAGAGAGAGAGAGAGGGAGGGAAGTCTTCAATATAGAGGCTGGAGGGGGGCTTCAGTATGATGTTATAGAGGCTTGAGAGGTTTTCAATATTATTTAAATCGAGAACATGATCAGTATACAAGGTATTGAATCACGAAACATTTTCACCTTTACATCCCTTATATATATTAAGAAAAGCAAAATGACCAGGCCAGTTCACCAATGATTTCCTACGTCTGCCATAATATTTCGAAACTCAATCTTATGAGCATAATAGTACTAGACTGCGCCGGAACTATCTGGTAACACGCTCTACGGCGCGAGTCATTGATCTCGGTGATTCAATACAAGTTTATGCTCACCAAGAAGGAATTTTTACCTCGGGAAACGTGTGAAAACACGAGCTGTTTTTTTTTCTGTTTCTCGGAGCTAACCCAACGCCCTCCTCGCTGATATCAAACAACAGTGTTGTGTTATTGACTGAAGGTGTGCTGAACGATATTGTTCTGTTTGTGGAGGTGCGCTGAACGATGTTGTCCCGTTGGTGGAGGCAAAACGGTAATCGTAAGTTACGGCATGCAGCATCGAGCTCTCTACCGCCACGTTGTCAAACAAGGAACATAAAAGACGTGAACAATCACAGTGAAACCATTTACAATTTTAGGGCGTCTATCCATATATTGACAGGTTCTACAAGTTAATGGGGTTGTTTTGACGAAAGAGGCAATGTATCACCACTCAAGTGTCGAGGAGAGGTGCAAAATACTTTTTTGTGCCATCTTGTAAATAAGTGTTCCAAACACTGCGTTACAAAGTGTGTGGCGCGAAGTGAACACGCTCTGCCTTATTTGCTGAACGCGAACAAGTTGTATTATCCGTCAGGGTGGTAGGAAGTGCCGCACTTTTCCACCTTTACCCATCACGTGCAGCACAAACATTTTAATATAAGTGGCTGTTATTTGACTCCATCCTAAATCAATAGTTCCACTGCGTTTGTATTCAAAATAATTCAAATGATGTCTCATTTTAGGATGAAAGGTGGTGAGTGAGGTCCCCTTCGGTCCTTAACCGAGGACCAAGGACCTCAACCGAGGGGACTGTGTTATCTTTTGCTCTTGGGTCTCATGGGTTGGTGGGGTGTAAATAATAGTTATGTCTTGGTGTAGTAGATGCTAGGGCGTACCTACGTGGCTGTTGATTGTTGGACGAGTGTGTTTGATATGCAGTACTTTGGTTATGTTTAATCTATTGTTGTATTTGTCGATTATTTCGGTGTAGTTAGTTAGGTGATGTTGTGCTTAGAAATCTGATCTTTGAGCCACATTGTTTGTGTACTGTCAAGCGCCTTGAAAAACACATTGTCGTTTTGCCTACATATTGAGTTCCTTTCATTTGTTAATGTAACATATGGATACAAATTGGATAAGAGTAAATTCAGGAAAGCCCTGGATAAATATTGGACTGGATATAGTGTTCTTGATTGTTAGAACAGTTTACCGGGTAACTTAATAGATATTGGACTGCAGGATTGTTTATCTTACCCCATGTTAGGAAGTATATGTTAATGCTGAGATTCTTGTGCAGGTGTGGTGCCCCAAGGAGTTTTGCTGCGGCAGGGGCGGCAGGTGTGGGCTGCGGAGGCTCCTGTGGTGCCACTGTCTTGGTACCACTTTTGTCTTTCCATCACACCCACCTCCGTCTCGCTCTTCATCGACTCAAAACACCTTTTACACGTCAGTCCCGTCATAGATTTCTTCAAGGGACAGCTGCAGATCCTTCTTGGCGGGAGTATCACTTGGCCTGATGTTCCTCCCTCCACTTTGAGTTTCACTGCGCCGTCCGACGCCCAGTGGGAGACCCTACGTGCCACCGAGTCCATCACCTCCGTCACTGGTTCGTTTGCAGGAGACTTATTGGGTCCCAAAGTTTGGAACGAGGAGCTAGTGGAGGCGAACGTGAAGAAGTTGGGTGCGTGCGGCATCCTCCCTGATATTCCACCGCCTCAATCTCTAAAGTGGAATGCTCACGGAGAGATTACTGAAGTTTCTATGAACGCGACCGAGCCATGCAGTCGAAGATACTTTGATTATCTGTTGTTCCCTGAGCCCATGTACTATCAAGAGAATTTTGAGCTGTGTGTTAAACTGGATATGGAAATGATACGACCTCGTACACTTGAGCAATACAGTCGTGTGTACGAAGAGAGTGCGGCAAACACAGTGTGCGGAACGGGCCGGGTTCTATGGTTAGGTAGCGACAGCAAAAACTGTCAAGCTCTCACGGCCTCTGGAAAGGAATCCGCTCCTTGTCTCTCCAAGATCTGCGGGGGATGCCAAATTACCCCACGGCGGCGTCGCCTCTTTATTCTGCGAGGCTTATGTTCTCATCCTGACGTAGATTTGGCCTTTGTGGCATTGTCCAAAATGACTGCTCGACCTTACTTTCAGGGCGTGGAACGTTACGACATCGCGTCAGTTCAGGATATGTGGGAACTTCGTGATGCCGCCACTGGTGAAATACTGGCCACCACAAACGATACCTTTCCTCTTGGCATTCACGGTTGGAAAGTGACCTCTAAGGCGTGCGATGCCAATACCGAGGACGTAGCAAGAGCGTCACTGAGTGCGTGTGGGGAATATCAAACGCTGTGTCGGAACGGTGCTTGTATAAACCTCAATTTGCGCTGCGATGGTTACCCAGACTGTCCAGATGGCTATGACGAAGAAGATTGCCAGCCAGTCAGAAGGCCGCCAGGTTATCTAACAAACTCTCCGCCACCTAAGCCCCCGGCCGCTATTAACCTCAACATAGACATCACGCGTGTAATGTCTACCGACCCGCTCACACTGCTCCTCTTCACCCAGCTCTCCTGGAAAGATCCTCGCCTCATTTTCGCCAACTTGCGGCAAGACGTTGACACACCTCTGCCTCTCAACTCGCTTATGTGGCGCCCTCGTCTTCTGGTGCTCGACCCCGGAACCGAAGCACCCGAAGACCTCCTGGAGAAGTCTCAAGCTACAACCTACGGAGGCGGGGCATCTCTCACCGCTAGGACCTCTGCCGAACCCATCCCAGACACCAGAGACACGCCAGCAATCGGTAAGCTTATGTTCAGTATTTATATATTTCATTTCAGCCATACACTAATCAGAAATTAAGACCGTAGTGTAGGGAGGGTCGTGCGTAGTGTGGTGAAGGTCGTGCGTAGTGTAGTGAAGGTCGTGCGTAGTGTAGTGAAGGTCGTGCGTAGTGTAGTGAAGGTCGTGCGTAGTGTAGTGAAAGTCGTGCGTAGTGTAGTCGTGCGTAGTGTAGTGAAGGTCGTGCGTAGTGTAGTGAAAGTCGTGCGTAGTGTAGTGAAGGTCGTGCGTAGTGTAGTGAAGGTCGTGCGTAGTGTAGTGAAGGTCGTGCGTAGTGTAGTGAAAGTCGTGCGTAGTGTAGTGAAGGTCGTGCGTAGTGTAGTGAAGGTCGTGCGTAGTGTAGTGAAGGTCGTGCGTAGTGTAGTGAAGGTCGTGCGTAGTGTAGTGAAGGTCGTGCGTAGTGTAGTGAAGGTCGTGCGTAGTATAGTGAAGGTCGTGCGTAGTGTAGTGAAAGTCGTGCGTAGTGTAGTGAAAGTCGTGCGTAGTGTAGTGAAGGTCGTGCGTAGTATAGTGAAGGTCGTGCGTAGTGTAGTGAAAGTCGTGCGTAGTGTAGTGAAAGTCGTGCGTAGTGTAGTGAAAGTCGTGCGTAGTGTAGTGAAAGTCGTGCGTAGTGTAGTGAAGGTCGTGCGTAGTGTAGTGAAGGTCGTGCGTAGTGAACATCGTGCGGAAGATCATGCGTAATGTAGTGAAGATCATGCGTAATATAGTGAAGATCATGCGTAATGTAGTGAAGATCATGCGTAGTGAAGATCGTGCGTAGTGTAAGTGAAATTAACCTAAAATAATAAATGGCCCAGTAAATAATAATAATTTTGCCCAGTTTAAAGAGATCTGAAGTTCTGCCACAAGAGCTTATGTCCAGGGGCCAGATGCAAGAAGCAGTTACGCAAGTATTTACAAACGTGTACATCTTTCATCAACCTTTGACGGCTTTGGTTACATTTATTAAACAGTTTACAAGCATGAAAACTTCCCAATCAACTGTTGCTATTGTTATAAACAGCTTCCTGGTGCTTCGGAGCTCATTAACTGTTTAATAATTTATAAAACAAAGCCGCCAAAGATTGAGAAAAGATGTACAGGTTCGTAAGTATTTGCATAACTGCTTCGTGAATCTGGCCAAAGGTGAGTAAATCAACATGGTCCTTATTAGGAAAAATAATTGCTTTCTGAGCTGAAATCCACAAAAGTATAAGAAAAAAAAGCAGACATGTGGGAGATTCCAAATGACACTGCGCAGAAATTTAAATGGCAACTTGAAATGTTTGATGAGAAGCGCAGCATCCAAGAGACCCCCTTCCCCCCCCAACGAGAACCCTCCAACCCCCCCTCCCCAAACCCTTGGATCTCTCTCTACACCCCCCCCCCCCACCTTTCATCTCCCTCAGAACCCCGTGGATCTCTCTCTCTCTCTCTCTCTCTCTTGAGCCCCTCCAAACCCACTTTCCCTCTGAAGCCCCCTGGAACTCTGTCGACCCCTCCATTTCCCTCCAACCCCCCCCCCCTCGCTAACTCCAGGATACCTCTAGACACCCCCCCCCCCTTCATCTCCATCTCACCTCTACCTCTCCTTTCAGCATTTCAGCATTCCACCTGCTTATCACTGGATCCATGTCTTCATCCCTCCCTTCCATTTAGTGACATTTACCGCGGTCGCGGAGCCCCCGGTAACCAAGAGCAACGAGAGGACACCGTTCATGCAGCGGACATCCGGATCTCACCAGATCCGGATCTCATCACGTGCTGGATCTTACTAGTGCCAGTGTCATATACTGGATCTTACAGGTCTAGGATCCAGCAGGACCTGACTGGCGACATCCAATAACTTTTTTGTGCTGGCACCAATAAGATCCGACGCGTGTTGGTGGCGTCAGTCTAGGAGTCATTAATGAGTAGAATGGACTAGATGAAGAATCTATTGAAGTCAAATTGATTCACAGTTTTAGAAATAAATAAAAGAAAACCCCCCATTGAAAAAGTGTGACAGCCTTAAACTACTGATGGTCGAAAGACGGGGCAAATGCTCGACCCTGCAAACACAACTAGGTGAGTACACAAACACACATATGTATATACATAACACACACACAGAATGTGTATGTTTCCTATGAATTCCCCCCTGACATGCCACTGACAATATTCATTATTAACCTGCTAGTAACTTTGTAATAATATTCTCCATTAATTACAAACTTGTTCTTTACCAAGGTTTCAGTTGGTAACAGGAAGGGAGCCAGTAGGACCGACCCCGACCCGCCTATGACAGTCTCCTCATACCCATGTATCACCCTGCAAAGTTGGGTAGGGCTAGACCCCCAAGTGTCTGGCCTCCAGACGTTCAGTTTTATAGATATATATTATCCTCATTATTACTCGTCACGCAAACTGCGACATTCATCATTCGCAGATTTGATCAAAATCGATCCCCAGATGTAAAGATTATGACGAAGACATTAAGCTACTGAGTATCATAAAAGTGAGTTGGTTCTAATGTGTGCGAATAAAGGCCCAGGAATAAACGCTCGCAGTACGGGTGTGGGGAGGTTGGGATGCCTCGTCCGGGACATTACCCATTTTGTGCATTTACACACGTTGGCAAGACCCAGTAATTGGTGACCCGGCCATTGTCGGTCCGACCGTTTGAGGGATGGGCATGGAGGAAACGGGGATGGTGGGAAAGGGGATGGAAGAAAGGGGGATGGTAGGGACGGGGGATGGAGGGGAGAGGTTGAGGTGGGAGACTCAACAGTCACATCCCTAAAGGTATTTACTACTCCGTAAAAAATGTAGTGGAAAATGCGTCAAATCCTGTTACTCGCTTAAACTACCGCAGCCGGTGCTCATTAGTTCTTACAGCGTCAACATTGCGGTGCTTTTAATTGTCCTAAACCACTGCAATTTTGACGCTGGGGTCGACTGGATAAAATATGTTGCTTGTTCAGTAAGAGTACGGGTTGCTCTCTCTCTCCGTCAATCATTAAGTCACACACACAGCCGCGCACGCACACACGCACGCCCGCACATGCACGCACACAGGTACACCGGCCCGCACGCGCACACTTTACCGGGGGGGGGGGGGGGACCTCCAGTTGCCAGTCGGAAGGTCACAAGGCACCCCACAAGACCTCGCCAGCGTTCCCAACGTCAAGAAACTGTCGTACTAAGGTGCCCTAACCACTGCGTGGTGACCTACCACGACCGCTGTGTGGGTCAAGCTCTTCTCGTTATAGAACGTCGCATTTTGACATATACTCTCCCCTAAGGCCAAAAATTATCGTACTAGAAAATGGCAGCGGCTCTCGAAATTGACATACTGTCCCGTTTTCTGTTGGTGGGTCGGATGGTTAAAGAACACTAACCAGACTGTCATAACTGCCGTCCTTATAAATGTTGCATGAAACATTGCACAATAAACGTCCCGATAGAAGCAATGGCAATCCATATTTCCTGTTAGTGCAGGTTTGTATAATTAATTCACATGCATTATGTACAAGGTGGAGGAGGAGGAGGAGGGCAAATATCGACCCGTCGCAGCTTGATGGCAGACTTCAACCGGCGCGCCATGATTTCCCGCTACCCCGGTGGTGGAGGTTTATGTCAGTTACCCCCTCGTCTTGCAGGATGGCGGGAAATATCTTGGGGGGGAAAGCGCCAAACCATTACGACTATATAGAACTGGGAATTAGGGGTCAGGAAAGGATTTGGGATGGGACGCGGGGTGGGTGGGAAGAGGAATGGTGCCCAATCACTTTGACGGTCGGGGATTGAAGGCCCACCTATATGAAGTGAGACCGGCGCTCTATCGTCCACGGGAGACATCTCCCGTCACGCAGGGTGCAGTCGCACCTTCACAGATCTCAAGTATCATCTATTGATACTGGTAATGGCTCAAAAGGGCCACCACTTACGGGCTATTCGTGCCCGTGCCACCTTTTGGGTGGCTTAATCTTCATCAATCTCAATCGTCCAGCCCAAGTGGTTGGAGGACAGGAGGAGGCTACAGTGTCTTCTTCCAGGAGCAACGTAATTGTGCTGAACAACGGGTTCTCTCTCCTTCCTAGAGTTCTCCATGGAGTTCGTTAATCAACGGTAGTTCTTCATAATCCTGCAACTAACTCCTTAATAAACGGAGGATCTTCCTAATAATTGCAGTAGCTCGTTAATCAGCGGTTGCTCATAGTCCTCCAAGTAACTCGTTAATCAATGGTTGTTCGTAATCTTTCAAAAAGCTCGTTAATGAACGAGTTGAAACCCTGAAGCCTCAACGACTCTAGATGCTCTTAAGACAACAAGTTCTGTATCACGGGAAGGTTAACGACGCGTTGGTGAGTATACTGCTTCAACAACGACATATTACAAAAACAACATTTACGATAATGTGTGATATATGTACAGCGGCATGAGACCAGTATACCAGCATGAGACCAGTATACCAGCATGAGACCAGTATACCAGCATGAGACCAGTATACCAGCATGAGACCATGGTTGTGCGATAATGAATAACTTGAATTATTCACATCGTGAATATATTTCACGGAGCTGTCACGAACTTGTACCCTAAACCAGCTTTTGCTACACTAACTAATTTGTTATGGTAGTTTGATGAAGTGGTAATTGTCGGAGCCACTGAACTGATTCACACGGTCTTAACTACCATCTTTAACACTATGAACCGGAAACTGCTTGAGGCACCAAATGATAGGTTTTATTGTGACCTGTCGTGGAGTGAGCCCCTGTAGGGTGACCTGTCGTGTTGTGAGCCCCTGTAGGGTGACCTGTCGTGTTGTGAGCCCCTGTAGGGTGACCTGTCGTGGTGTGAGCCCCTGTAGGGTGACCTATCGTGGTGTGAGCCCCCTCGTGGTGTGAGTAGAGTGAACTCTCGTGGTGTGAGCCCCTGTAGAGTGTGTGGTGTGAGCCCCTGTAGAGTGAACTCTCGGTGTGAGCCCCTGTAGAGTGAACT